CAGCCTCCCAAAGGCGCAGGATTACAGGCCGAGCCACCGAGCCCGGCGTATAATAAATATTATGTTTACCTCTCCCATATGTATAATTAAGTGAAAAAGGCAAAGTAAAAAGAAATTATGTAGCTGCCATTTATCTAAAAGCCAACAGGTGGATACAAATATATATACATATTTGCTTACATTTTTAAAAAACAAAATATAAAATGTAAAAGTTCTTAAAATGTTGAACTATATCAGCAAAGAAGGATCAGGGTGAAAGGAATAGAAATATAGTTTCTCTAAAAACATCTTGTTTTATAGACTTGATTTTGAAAATATATCCCTGTTGACCAGGCACGGTGACTCAAGCCGGTAATCTCAGCACTTTGGGAGGCCAAGGTGAGAGGACTGCCTAAGCTCAGGAGCTTGAGACCCACCTGGGCAACTTGGCAAGATCTTGTTTCTACAATAAATCAAAAAGTAGTCAGGCATGGTGGCGCATGCTTGTAGTTCCAGCTACTTGGAAGACTGATGCGGAAGGATCACCTGAGCCTAGCAGGTTGAGGCTGTGGTAACCATGAGCATGCCACTGTACTCCAGCCTGGGCAACAGAATGAGACTCCAACTCAAAACATAGTAATTTGACTGTATCTAGAATTCACACGAAGGACTAAAATAAAAATCCTGAACTGTTATAAGTAATAGTATTAATCTTTTTAGTAATAATATTGATATTGTAATTCTGAAACCATATTAATGTAGTACTACTGTTGTTTTCATATAAATACTAACATATATAAACATATATATGTATCTGTATATATATAATATAACACACAAATATATGGGTAAAAATACATAGATATGTAAGAAATGTATTTTGAAACACAGCATGCTGGGCACAGTGGCTCAGACCTGTAATCCCAGCACTTTGGGAGGTGGAGGCAAGCGGACTGCCTGAGACCAGGGGTTCAAGACCAGCCTGGGCAACTTGGCAAGACTTCGTCTCTACAATAAATCAAAACATTAGCTGGGCATGGTGGTGCACGCCTGTAGGAAGACTGGGGCGGAAGGATTGCCTGGGCCCAGAAGGTTGAGGCTGCAGTGACAGTGAGTGTGCCACTGCACTCCAGCCTGGGCAACAGAGTAAGACTTAGTTTTTAATTAATTAATTAATTAATTTTAAAAAGAGCACATTGGGAAAATGGCTGACTCCAGGCGAACAGGGGAGCCTGAATACCTTGTCTTATAAGAAAACAGAAGCACCGGGCTCGGTGGCTCAGCCTGTAATCCCACGCCTTTAGGGAGGCTGAGGTGAGTGGATTGCCTGAGCCCGCGGGTTCGAGACCCGCCTGGGCAGCGAGACCTCATCTCTACAATAAATCAAAAAATCAGCCGGGCGTGGTAGCGCATGCCTGTAATTCCAGCTATTTGGAAGGCTGAGGCGGAAGGATCGCCAGAGCCCAGCAAGTTGAGGCTGCGGTGGCCGGGAGCGGCTACTGCACTCCAGTCTGGGCGACAGAGACTCCAACTCAAAAAAAAAAAAAAACAAAAACAAAAGAAGCAAAGAACCACTAGGAAAGTCAGGGTACAGTGGCTCATGCCTGTAATCCCAGCACTTTGGGAGGCTTAGGCAGATTTATGAGGCCAGGAATTAAATACCAGCCTGGGCAACACAGGGAGAGCACGTTTCTACAAAAAACAGAAAAATTAGCCAGGTATGATGGCATACATCCTGATCCTTTTTTCCTGATATAGTTTCCAATATAGCTATAGTCCTAGCCACTGGGGAAGCTAAGGCAAGAGGATCACTTGAGTCCAGGAGCTCAAGGCTGCAGTGAGCAGTGATTGCACCACTGCACTCCAGCCTGGGCGATGGAGTATGTTATCATGTTTAAAAAACAATAACAAAAAACAACTGGGGCCCAATTTTAATGGTAAACAAGTTGCACAAATAATGTAAATGCTACCATATAAATCAAAGTGTGAGGGGACATTTAAAAAATAAGTTGTTCATAGCTTTTAACTTTGGTGGTATGTTTCTTCCTCTTTCTCTCAAACAAGGCTTTCACCACCAGCATGTTATAGTGGATAAAGTACTTTCCCTGGAACATGCCAACATCTCTGTAATCAAGAGCCCATCTCTTAACATTCCCCATGGGATTCTCAGCTCCCACCACCACTCCTAGTTCTAGTCTCTCTTCCAGCACACAGCTCCACGGAAGTTCCTGCCCTCTGGTCTCCTCCTCTTCCCCCAACCTTGCAGTTATCTAAGGAGTCCTCTCCCAGCCATAGGATTCTACTATCCTTCAGTTGAAACCTCAGGGGCTTCCAACACTGATGCTGGAAATCTAATGCCCCGGCTTGGTACCACCCCTCTCCCTCATTCCTACTGAACCTGCTGTCCATCCATGTCCAGCACAACCCTCTGCCATCCACACAAGCCTTCAGACCCCTGCCAGCCCTACCTGTCTCCCTGTTCAGCAGGGTTCCACGAGAAGCCATCTCAGCTGGGCTTGATCACTTTTCCCCAGAGCGCTGAACTTTAATTCCATTCTCCCAGTGATTCCCATTTCTGCTTGACCTTGAGCCATCAGGTTGTGCCTTTCTCTTTGAACCAGTGCAGTGACACCATCACAGTTCGAAGCCTCAACCTCTTGGGCTCAGGTGATCCTTCCACCTCAGCCTGCCAAATAGCTGGGATTACAGGTGCATGCCACCATACTCAGCTAGTTTTTCATTTTTTGGAGTCTGTCACCCAGGCTGGAATGCAGCAGCACGCTCACAAACCCCCCAGCGTTGACCTGCTGGGCTCTGGTGTTCCTTCCACCTCAGCCTTCCAAGTAGCCAGAAATACAGGCACACACTACCACACTCAGCTAACTTTGTGTTATTTTACTGTAGAGACGAGGTCCCACCAAGTTGTCCAGACTGGTTTCAAACCCACAGGCTCAGGCAATCCACTCATCCGTCTCCCAAAGTGCTGGGATTACAGGTTTGAGCCACCACACCCAGCCTGTATTTTTTAAGAGACAGGGTCTCACTATGTTGTGCAGGCTGGTCTCAAGCAATCCTCCTGCTCAGACTCCCAGAGTGCTGGGATGACAAGTGGGAGCCACCATTCTGGGCCTCATGTCTTTCTTCTAAGAGCAAAATAAAACACAAACTGCTCCTGCAGTACCCTCTAACTACTGCCTTTACCCCTCTTCATTGTGAAATTCTGATTTGTATTCCTTAACCCATTAGTAAGTGGAGATAGAAAGCAGGGTACCACCTCTACCTCAGGTAGGGGAGACACACAAAAGCAGCTCCAGGTGCATGGCTACCCGAACACTTAACTATCAAAACTCTCTCCACTCTAAGGATGGTGGCAGAGCTTTTCAGCGGGACATGTGGGCTCCCAAACAGTCAAGGCTGAGACCAAGCAACAGACCTAAGGCTCCTTGTAAAATGGGTAATCACAAAACCCACGGGCTCACTCATGACTTAAAATGCCTGGAGACCAGAAGGTGCCAGTTACCTTCTCTCCCTTCATTCCTACTGAGACCATTATTTTCATTGCTCCATTACTGTAAATTCTTCAAAGGATAAGGCATCAGAACCAATTGTTACAGTCAATATTTTTAAACAAAATCTATAATTTGCTTTACACATGTATTAAAAACACGATAACACCAAAAACTTTCCAAATCAGTATCAATTTATATGATCGCACCGGTAGCAGTGGCAGTGGCTCAAGCCTGTAATCCCAGCACTTTGGGAAGCCAAGGCAAAAGAGGATTGCTAAGTCCAGGAGTCCAAGACCAGCCTTGGCAACTTGGTGAGACCTCGTCTCTATAATTAAGCACAAAATAAGCTGGGCATGGTGATGCAATTCTGTAGTTCCAGCTACTTGGAAGGCTGAGGCGGAAGGATTACCTGAGCCCTGCAGGTTGAGGCTGCGGTGGCCGTGAGCATGCCACTGCACTCCCGCTCAGATAAATAATATATCAAATAAACCTAAGAAAAAAATTAGGATGAGGTGCAGCAATTTTTTATTTTTAAAAAAAGCAGACAAGTTAGAACAAAACATTTTATTATTAAAATAAAAACCTTTGTATAAAAGCATTACAGATCCAAAGCTGTATTTACATGTATTGACTGAAGATCCAATGACGCATCAAACACTGACTGGGCATAGCAACAGGCTATACAGACAAAGCCTTCGATTACACCTCACCACTACCTCACCAAACGATCTGATTAATGCAAAAGAGGAAGAAGGGGAGGAGCCACACAGGAAATCTGCCCAGAAATTAAACTGGCAGAGATGCCAAGTTAGCAAATGGTTGAAAGTTACCCATCTCCAAAAAGGCACTTCTCAATGTTACAAAAGTGCTTAAAACCTATGCACGAGCCCTGTGCCTTGCTTATAATTTCTTCAAGAAAGTACAATGAAGCATAGACTAGTTATTAATATCAAGCTTCCCTGCAAAGTGGTCCAAGAATTTATCTAAAATACTTTACATATGTTCTGAAATAAACTTGGCAAACTATAATCATACTCAAGCCTTGTACCAAGCATTCAAATCAGCCTACTCCTGAACTTTCATCATCCTAATTTCCCAGGATGCCTTTTCTAAAACGATTTTATATAGCACTGTTCACACACTTCTGGATGACTGTGTGAGATGTCCACTGAACCCTGGGGCAGAAGACCTTGGCAGCAGCTCAGTCTCCACAGTGACAACTTGTATAGTAAGCACAATCCGTGGACTATTCTCACAAAAGGCATCTTAAGTAAGATACTACACTTTGCAACCATTCCCTAATTTTTCCACATGAGTTTAAGACTTGGGTGCACCTTGATTTTGCTAAAAATGTCCATCAGTATGAACACTAAATCATACCCATGCTTTTTGTGTAAACAAGTTAGAGGGCTGTTCTCTGAAATTCAATAAATCTAGTTAGTTAACACTACTGCTGTGTTTCTAAGTGCTTGGATTTTATGAGTGGATCCCAGGCTGTTTTAATACAGACTAAATCAAATATGCTTGTGTAAAATTGTCGTTTAAAAAAGAATCCAGAAACCGAGAGGCAGGAGAAGACTGTTGGAAGTAGAGGGGAAGGATATGAGGTGGGGCTGCAGGGAGCAGAGGAGAAACCACAAGAGGACCAAGTGTTAAGTAGCAATATACCTTTTGCAACGCTCCAGAAACATGTGAGTCTAGTGAGATTAACCTGGAGTTCCTGTAAAACAGACTGGTCACCAAAATGCTTAAGTCAGGTTTCAATCAGTGACAAAAATGAAAACTTTAACAAGAATGGAGAAGTGGAAGGCAGGCAGTGAATCTTCCAGGTATCATGCTTGCATTTCAAACTCCTGTTTCAGACTGTGAGAAAGAAAAAGAAATGTATCATGATACAGCTTTCAACCTATGAAAGCCTAATTCTTTTTTTTTTTTGAGTCAGATTGGAGTATAGTGGCACACTCACAGCTACCACGGCCTTAACCTGTTGGGCTCAGGCGATCCTTCCACCTCAGCCTTCCAAGTAGCTGGAACTACAGGCACAGGCTACCACACCCAGCTAATTTTTTCATTTATTGTAGAGACAAGGTCTTGCCATATTGCCCAGGTTGGTCTCCAACCCGTGAGCTCAGGCAATCCTCTTGCCTCAGCCTCCCAAAATGCTGGGATTACAGGCTTGAGCCACTGTGCCTGGCTCTAATTCACTTTTTAAATGGTTTTCACCGAGTTAGGACATGACCTATGGTCAAGTACACACATCATTAAGTGTACAACTTGACTTTTTACACACATACCACCACGACTGCCACCACCCAGATGAATACACAGAACAGAATAGCGTGCTCACAAGCCTCACCCTCCCCATGTGCCCCTTTCCAAGCAACACCCACCCTGCCAGAGATCACCACTATCCTGACTCCTGTCATCTTTTTGTGAAGACACGTATATATGAATGTGAGATTCAGGTGTGGAAGACAGGAAAATAACAGCCGTCACCTTTTTAAGTAAGCATGCACATTCCCAAAGCCATGGTACTTGGCTAAATACACAAGGACCCCCGTGGCGCACCGTCCATCTCGCTGCCGGCAGAAACTGCAGTTGCAGATCCCTCGACAAGGTGGGCAGTGCCAGTTCTGGAGCAGAATTGGGAAACGGCACAAATAAGTTCAACTTCACCTTCTCCCATATTTACCCACTCCTTCCTAATCTTTAAGGTGGGTATCACCCATAACATTTAGGCCTTTTTTGTTGGGTAACGAGCTTAGAATGCATGAATCATGCTAATGTTTCCTTAGGAGATGCAGGAAAGGAGGTTACACAGCAGCTTCTCCCAAGGGTTCAGACCCAAGCACCAAGGAAGTGGCTCACACCCACAAGCACCATCACCTGAAACTCATCTGCCTCCCCCTATAACTGTATTCAGCCCTCTAGAGTAAGGGCTCCATCCTTTCACTGTGCCCTTTTTCTGGTCTCGCTGGCTTGTGGCTGATTGACCTTCAAGCCCACAGGACCAACTCCTCCAAGGCACCTACCGGATCCAGTAGAGCATCCCTGACCTCTTCACCGTAACGGTTTCGAAGGCAGGGGCCACAGAACTGGCCTCGAACACCCCAGCAGTCTGGGTTTCTGCAGTTTGTTTTGGTATCAATCGTTTTCTGGCGGCACTGATGACAAGTAGAGCCCTATCAACAACAAGCAATTCAGAAAAAGAACAACAACAAAAAAATCCACTGCTTTTTATAGAAAAAAGTGGCATATTTAAAGAATGTCTTTCTTCGTGGTAGAGTCTGACAATCTGCCTTTGAATCCTTGCATACATGTGTCTATACCAGGCACGAAAAATAAATCTCAAGCATGGTGATTTCATTCAACTGGCAGATATAATAGTTAATATTATCAAAAGTACTTTTCTTCAAGAAATGGTCTCATCAATGTAAAACCTATCTCACTGCAGCATCAAATTCCTGGGCTCAAGCAATCCTCCATCACCCTCTCAAGTAGCTGGGACTACATGGTGCACGCGAGCACGCCCAGTTAATTTTTAAATTTTCTGTCAGCCGGGTGCAGTGGTTCACGCCTGTAACCCCAGCACTTTGGGAGATGGAGGCAAGAGGACTGACTCCTGAGCTCAGGAGATCAAGAGCAGCCTGGGAAACAAGGTGAGACCGTGTCTCTATAATAAACCAAAAAATTAGCCCAGCATGGTGGCACATGTCTGGTTCCAGCTACCTGTAAGGCTGAGGCAGCAGGATCGCCTGAGCCCAGCAGGTTGAGGCTGCAGTGGCATAAGCATGCCACTGCAATTCAGCCTGGGTGGCTGAGTAAGACTCCGACTCAAAAATAAAATAAAATAAATTATCTGTCATGATGGGGTCAAATTATGTTGCCGAGGCCTCCTGGCCTCAAGAGTTTCTCCTGCCTTGGCCTCCCAAAATGCTGGGATTACAGGCATGAGCCACCACACCAGGCCTCAAATCCATTTTTATCTTCAGGACACCACCAATCTGTGTATACACACATAATACACATAGGCTGCACGAATCCATTTCTAATTTAGGAGAAAAGATTCAACAAGAATGTAGACTCACTATGCAGATAATTTAAGGGGGAAAAGGCTGAACCTTAGGGATACTGTAAACCTCTTCTTTCCTTGTATAAAAAATCAGACACACACCCAGAGGCCAAGCTCTCTAGAACCTGATTGAAACTCTAGGGATAGCAGCTCTCCTTCGTCTCAGACGTTTACATTCACAATGAATTCAGAGGCTCTTACCAGCGAACGGTTATAGATCTTCTCTCGAGAAGTGTTGCAGATGTTTTCCAACTCTTCCTCTGTAATTTCTTCCACTGGGCGAATTATATGCGGAAGAGTCATGGATGACCTGGAGCGACGAATTCTGGGCATGTCGTCTTCCTGCATAACAAGGAACATGAAAGACAGTGTCCTTACTGGCTTTTCTCAGCTTTCAATCTCAGAAACTAGGTTTGCTATTTCTTCACATAAAATTCAACCTGGGACAAGGTGCAGTGGCTCACACCTGTAATCTCAGTACTTTGGGAGGCTGAGGGTCAAGGTGAGAAGATTGCATGAGCCTAGGAGTTCAAGACCAACCTGGGCAACATGACAAGACCTCGTCGCTACCAAAAAAAACCAAAAAATTAGCTGGGCATGGTGGTATGTGCCTATAGTACCAGCTTCTCAGGAGGCTGAGGTGGGAGAGTCACCTGAGCCTAAGAGGTCAAGGCTGCAGTGAACTGTGATGGAGGATTGCTTGAGCCCAGGAATTTGATGCTGCAGTGAGATAGGTTTTACATTGATGAGACCATTTCTTGAAGAAAAGTACTTTTGATAATATTAACTATTATATCTGCCAGTTGAATGAAATCACCATGCTTGAGATTTATTTTTCGTGCCTGGTATAGACACATGTATGCAAGGATTCAAAGGCAGATTGTCAGACTCTACCACTCTAACACACACACAAAAATTCAACCTGAAAATCTCTCCCCAAGCTTATGGAGAGATGGCAGGTCGCATGCTTACTGGACAACTTTATGGAAACGATTTCTACAGATGACAAAAGCTGAAGAAAACCGGATTCATGCCTGCCAGAAAAATAATCAAGAGAAAAACTTAATACGGATCCCCCAGTGTTGAGGCTGTGTGTGTACCTGTGCCGTGTATATGACACTGGGCAGAAGAACAAGCACAAACATGGCAGAGAACTCACGTTCATGTAGCCATCCATGGTCTTCCTCTTCCTCACCAACATGTACTTATCCTCTTCCTCTTCCTCTTCCTCCTCCGTGGGTAGAGGACCAAGGGACCCCAGGATCCGGGACCTCGACCTGGTGAGAGGGCGAGCTCTCCGTTCAGGGTTTCTCCTGGAGGCGACACCTGGGAACGTTCGCCGGCGGGGTCTCTTCAGTTGCTAAACAGAACATACAATGGAGCCCATTTATTCCATAATGAACTAGCACTTTGGAAAGTGGCTCAAGCCTGTAATCCCAGCACTTTGGGAAGCCCAGGCAACAGGATTACCTTAGCTCAGGGGTTTGAGACCAGCCTGAACAACATGGTGAGAACTTATCTCTACGATAAATTTAAAAAATTAAAAAATTAACCTGGCATGGTGGCACATGCCTGTGGTTCCAGCTACTTGGAAGGCTTGAGGCAGAAGGATCACCTGAGCCCAGTAGGTTGAGGCTGCAGTGGCCGTGAGTGTGTCACTGCACTCCAGCCTAGGCAACAGAGTGAGACTGACTCAAAAAAAAAAAGGACGCTTCCTTTTAAGTAAAGAGCGTGCCATCTTTTCATTTTCTTAGTTCTTACTATAATGCATGGAAATTGAACCAAAATCCCGATGACCTAATACCAAGCCTAATTTTCTCAAACTGAGAAAAGATCATTTATTCTTTTACCTAGTGACATAAACTACTGATCTTGTGTTCTGAAAACTTCCCTGCCATTCTTCAGCTGGAACATACCCGCTGTTTCCCTATCACACAACGGAGGAATACACCATAGATATATATTCTTCCCTTCCTTGCTTGCTTTCCTTCCTTTCCCCTCAGGGAGAGGCAGGGAAAGGTCTTTTCCTTTGTAGCACAGCAGACATGCCAAATTCCCCTGTGCTGTACCCACTTCATTCCTCAGAATGTAATCATATATGACATCAGGCCATGACTTGGTAAAGAAGTTGTGTTTTCTTTCTTTATTCTTCATTCTCAAATTTTGAAAACACTGACCATACATCTGCCATGTGAGAGGAATGAGCTATAGCTAAGGGTACAGAAAAAAAAATTCCATTTTTACTCCCTGCTCTCAAGTCTAGGTGGGAAGGAGAAAAATAGCAAATCAACAAGATTTTAGCCCACAGGGGCACAGCAGGGGAGGCCAAACTGCCCAGGATTCGAGGAAGATTATCCAGAAATCTGTCAGGAGCTTCCTCTAACTCCCCTTCATCTGTCTAGAAGGGTACACAGACAAAGAAATGAGAATTTAAAATATAGCAGGAATCTACCCAAAAACACTACTACACGAACAAGAACTTGTACTTACTGAGCTGGGGCCTGGAAAGGAATGTCTTCCAGGGAATGAGCCAGGGAAGCTTTCTAATTCTGACATGAGTTTTGCAAGCTAAACAGGGAGAGAATTAATAATCAGCTGACATATTCAAAGAGTTTCTGATTTCCCTTAATGCACTTAACCAGGCCTCTAGTAGATTAAAAGAATTCAGTTCAGGAAAAGAAACCCATTTTAAAGAGCACATCATGAAGACTCACAGATATGAGATAGATACCTACCATTGCTTTGTTTTGCTTTATATTTAAAGCCCTTTTCTCCAAAAAATTCATGCCGCTTTCATCTTCTGAATCAGAATTAGAATTGGTCACAGAATTATTTGAAGGTTGGGGGGACTCTGCTTTCTTGCTGGCCGCTCCCCTGCTGCTTCGGGCTGGAAACTTCATGGCTACCCTGAGAGGTGCAGAGTGTCTGCCTTGGCTGCGTGTGCGACAGCCTTCCCGGACTGACTGTAGTCTCTAGTTAATCAGAACAATTGAGCCATTAACGACTTGTTGATCAGCAGACAAGCTACACCAGTATGACTACAAGATCCCTTCTGAACAAAAAACACATATCAAATGGATTTCAACTGAGTGTTGACAGTTCTAGGTAACAAAATCAAGGAGCACAAAGAAGTACAACAATCTGAGCGCAGTTTAGCTCCACATCACCTGTCTGGGCCACATTATTCTAAGCCATCTTCACAACCCCTGGGCCTATGGTTCTGAGCTTTTTTTAAAATGTGAAAATTCACCTGGGCTCGGTGGCTCAGCCTGCAATCCCAGCGCTTTGGGAGGCTGAGGTGAGTGGATTGCCTGAACCCGCGGGTTCGAGACCCGCCTGGGCAACTTGGTGAGACCTCATCTCCACAATAAGTCAAAAAATTAGCAGGGCTTGGTAGCATGCGCCTGTAGTTCCAGCTACTTGGAAGGCTGAGGCGGAAGGATCACTGGAGCCCAGCAGGTCGAGGCTGCAGTGGCTGGGAGCAGCCACTGCACTCCAGTCTGGGCAACAGAGTAAGACTCAAACTCAAAAAAAAAAAGTAAAAATTTATACTCCTCCATTTCTTTCAAAACAGATCTTTATGTATTTTAAAAGAACTTGTACAGGAACAAATGTGTTCTCCTGTAAACATGGTTTCAATGCTTATGGCAATATTAAGCTATATTAACATGTCTCAATTCTCTACTTTAAAAAATTTACCATTTTTTTTAGGTATACAGTTAAATGGCATTAAATAAATATTTTCCAATTACTGTGTAACCATCACCACCATTCCCCTCCAGAATATTTTCATTTTCTCCAACTAAAACTCCATACCTATTAAACAGTAACTCCCCATTCGTTCCCCCACCATCTCTATGAATTTGGCCACGCTAGATGCCTCTCTGATCTACTTTTGGAAGCTTGAAATTAAAAAAAAAAAATTCCCTGAATTTCAAAAGTAATATAGGTTTTCATCATTTAAAATGTATTAATATTACACATGAGGAAAAGCAAACCAAAATCCCCACGAGATAATTCATACCTACTAATGAGCTAAATACAGAAGACACAAAATAAGCGTCAGCAACAACATGGAGAAACTGTAACCTTCATACACTGCTGGTAGGAATGTAAAATGCTGTGGCCACTTTGGAACAGTCTAAGTTCCTCAACTGACAGTTCCTCCACACAAAAATTTTATGAATGTTCATAGTAGTATTCTTTTTTTTTAAGAGACGAGATCTCGCTATGTTGCTCAGGCTGCCCTCCAACTCCTGCGCAATTCATCCTTCCACCTTGGCCTCCCAAAATGTTGGGACTACAAGTGTGAGCCACCACACCCAGTCAGCATTATTCTCAATAGGCAAAAGAGTGCAACCAACCCAAATATCCATCACACAATGATGTACCCTACAATAAAAGGAATGAAGAAGTAACACATGACACAAGATAAATGAACCTTGAAATCACTGTGCTAAGTGAAAGCCAGTTACAAAAGACCACATATTGTATGATTCCTTTTATTTATTTTTTTTTTATTTTTTGAGTTGGAGTCTCACTCGGTTGCCCAGACTGGAGTGCAGTGGCCGCTCCCAGTCACCACAGCCTCGACCTGCTGGGCTCTGGCGATCCTTCTGCCTCAGTCTTCCAAGTAGCTGGAACTAAAGGCGCGTGCTACCACATCCGGCTAATTTTTTTGATTTTATTGTAGAGATGAGGTCTCGCCAAGTTGCTCAGGCAGGTCTCGAACCCGCGGGCTCATGCAATTCACTCACCTCAGCCTCCCAAAGGCGCAGGATTACAGGCTGAGCCACCGAGCCCGGCTGTATGATTCCTTTTAAATGAAAACTTCACAACAGACAAATCTATGACAGAAAGTAGACTGATGGTCTCCAGATGCTGGGGCTATTGGAAAAAAATGGGGAGTGACTGCTATTGGGTATAGGGTTCCTTTTTGGGGTAATAAGACCCCCAAAACTGACTATGATGATGGCTGAGAAACAAATAAGAGAATATTACCCATTAAGTCCCAAAAATAATAAATCCAATTTTAACATTCAGAAATCTCTTAAATTTGGCTGGACACAGTGGCTCACACCTATAATCCCCACACTTTGGAAGACCAATAGGGGAGGACTGCTTGAGTCCAGGAGTTCAAGACTAGCCTGGACAACATAGCAAGACCTCATCTCTGCAAAAAAATTAAAAAATTAGCCAGGCATGGTGGTGTGCACCTGTAGTCCCAGCCACTCGGGAGGGGGAGGCAGAAGACCTGCCTGAGCCCAGGAAGTCAAGACTGGTAAGCTGTAATCAAGTCACTGTACTTCAACAGCCTGGATGACAACTCAAAAAAAGAAAAAAAAAATCATTAAATCCCCACAAACAGCTTTTCGTACTTTTCATGTTCGTGAACTGAGATAATACAAAACAAAAAATTTTAAGTTTTTAATACTTTTAAACAAATGGTATTTTTATTTATCTATTTTTTACTTGGTGTCCTACGAAAATGGCATTTTTGGCTGAGTGCAGTGGCTCACACCAGTAATCCCAGCACTTTGGGAAGCGGGGACAAGAGGACTGTCTAAATTCAGGGGTTCAAGCCTGGGCAACTTGCAACTTGGCTAGACCTCATCTCGACAACAAATAAAAAAATTAGCCGGGCATGGTGGTGGGCGCCAGTAGTCCCAGCTACTTGGAAGGCTGAGGCAGAAGTATTACCTGAGCCCAGCAAGCCGAGGCTGCAGTGGTCATAAGCAGGCCACTGTGCTCCAGCCTGGATGACAGAGTGAGACTCCTACTCAAAAAAAAAGAAAGAAAGAAAATGGCATTTTTATCAATCACAACAAATGGTTATCTACAAAGAACTGAAACACTGCCCCGAATTTATTCAGGTGACTGACAATGTTTGGGTCATATCCAGGTCTGCAGACTGGCCCCTGCAATAAACTCCAATAAACATTGATCTGAACAAATACCACTCATTAGAGGAAACACTAACATTACCACCAACAGTTAGATAGTAATAAACCACTCCTTGGCCAGGTGCTGCCACGTATATCAAAGTTACTCAAGTCACGGTCCATGGGTAGTAAATCCGTATTAGACCGGTGGTGAGGGTGAAGAGCATGCAACTGGCTACAAATCAACGCATTGCTTCCTTCTTCAAGAAAATCTTTGGGAACAAGCAAATGCCTGCAGAGAGATTGGGACCGAGGTGCAGCAGCAAGGGTGGCAGCAGAGGTTAAAGGAAGGTGGAGTGCATAGAAAAAGCCAACCAAGGAGCAAAAAGAGAAGCAGGAAGAGCCTGGCATTATCTGCTTGTGCTCCTGCATGTGAATGGTCACAGGTTTTCAAGATGCAGGCATAGATCCATTATAGGAACCAACATTTATTCAAGGTCTGCTCTAGCTCTGTGCCCGGCCACTTGAAGTTAAAATGCAAATGCAGCCAATCTTCAGGACTCTGGGCCAGTGCCTCACTAGACTCTGGTATGGCCACATGCTCTTTGAGCTACGGCTATTGCCATGCTTCCTGGCTTTGGTCCCCTTCCCTGTCTTGGGGAGTGAATCTCCCCCTCCACTCTACTTTTTATTTTTTTATTTTTTATTATTTTGAGTTGGAGTCTCACTCTGTTGCCCAGACTGGAGTGCAGTGGTCGCTCCCGGCCACCGCAGCCTCGACCTGCTGGGCTCCGGCGATCCTTTGCCTCAGCCTTCCAAGTAGCTGGAACTACAGGCGCACGCTACTACGCCCGGCTAATTTTTTTATTTATTGTAGAGATGAGGTCTTGTCAAGTTGCCCAGGCGGGTCGCGGGTCTCGAACCCACAGGCTCAGGCAATCCACTCACCTCGGCCTCCCAAAGCGCTGGGATTATAGGCTGAGCCACCGAGCCCGGCTACTTTTTAAATAAACTATATTTTCTAATCTAAAAAAAAAAAAAATCTTCGGAACTCAGAATATTTGTGGTAATGGAAAATGGAGACAGGCCAATTTTATCTTACCAGTTTCCAAAATGTTCATGATTTGCAAGTAGGACTACATTAGTAAAAACTGCTTTAAGACATGAATAAAATACCGAAAATTTTTAAAAGATCAACAAAATATTGAGGCATAACTAAAATCAAAATTGTAAGAAAAAATTTTTAAGCAAGTATGCCTTGCCTCGAAATGTACCTTACTTCTTGACATTGGTGAAACTCTCAAACTCACCATTGCATCTTGTGTTTCACTTTCTGAGAAACCGCAAAATGATTCATCGTCCGAGTCAGCATGAAAAATACTGGCCAGTTCGTTAGTGACATCTGGCCTGGGTTTCTGTAAAAATCCACAATGGTCTAATACATCTTGCACCTCACTTTCTGAAAAGCCGCAGAAAGATTCATTATCAGAGTCCTCATAAAAAACATTTGCCAGTTCTTCACTGATATCTGACCTGAATTTAGGTTTCTGTAAAATAAATAAATAAATGTGGTTGTGCATTTTTTTTAAGAACCAATTTTCCATAACCATGCAGAGAGCAAATCACATTTACAAGTGTACTACAAGAGAATAGCTTTTGTTACAAAGAAAAATGGTTCAGAGGTTTACAAATGATTTCTGAGTTGTTATGGCAAATCATCATGCATGTTAGGTTAGGCGACATTTCAAAAGGATAGAATAAGTAGCTAATCTACCTCCAACAATTACTACCTAGAACCACAGCAAAAAGTGAAATGAAATTACAGTGCATACTGTATTTTCATAACGGCTGTATAGAAATGTAGGCAAAAAGCAAGCAGTTTTAATCACGCACAAAGCATTTGGGACATTTTGAGCACTGCAGACTCAATTCTGTTTATTCTCAGGCAGCACTTACCGTGTTTGCAAAATTATCAGAAGCAAAGCTGTCACAACTGTCATCAGAGGATGACGCAGTTTCCATGGAAATCAACTTCACATATCTGAATTTCTTGAACTTCTTGACTCTGCGATCCTTTTGCTACAGATGGAAATGGCAACACTATTAAGTGAGATGCTCACTTTATTTAACTAAAGACATCATTTTTGAGTTCAGCAGAGTAGATGTGTCCATTTCTTATACCCCACGTAGAAAAAGAATTTGCAACTGCTACAAAAATTTTGAAATCCAGGTCAAATCCTGAGCTCTCTGGTAACTTGAATGACAGTTTATCAATGTATTCAAACATATACAGAGCTACTTTTCTTCCTATCCTACAAGCCCCTAAGCTCTTAGCATTATACTGAGCCCTATGGGAGTTTTTAATGTTCACCCAACCTCTTTTCAAAAAAATTAAACTGTACTTCTAAAAGGAAATGTCAAAAGTATAAAATGGCGGCTCAGCCTGTAATCCCACGCCTTTGGGAGGCTGAGGTGAGTGGATTGCCTGAGTCCGTGGGTTCAGACCCGCCTGGGCAGCGAGACCTCATCTCTACAATAAATCAAAAAATCAGCCGGGTGTGGTAGCACATGCCTGTAATTCCGGCTACTTGGAAGGCTGAGGCGGAAGGATCGCCAGAGCCCAGCAGATTGAGGCTGCAGTGGCCGGGAGCGGCCACTGCACTCCAGTCTGGGCGACAGAGTGAGGCTCCAACTCAAAAAAAAAAAAAAGTATAAAATGGCAGAACGATTTCTCTCCCTTGGCCAAAATCAATCTAATAAGGAATTTTTATGTAAGCTTTGGGCTATGCATTGTGATGCTAATTTCCCAAACTACAAAGATTGAGCAGGACTTGGACTTCAAGATGGCAGGCTTCCAAACAGGCCCTGTTCCAGTCAGGATGGGTACAGTGATTTCCAAACAATTCCTTAAAAATCAAACCTATCAATCCAGTCAACAAATGGTACAAAGAGCCAAGTTAAAGGTCAAACAGCACTCCAAGTCCAGGTTGGACACCTGATTCCATTTTGGCACTCAACCTAGGCTGACACTCAACTCTTTCTGCAGTCCCCTTGCTAAATACTTCAGTTCAAGCCAGGCGTGGTGGCTCACCTTGTGAGAGGATTGTAAAAATGAGCATCTTGTAAGAGGACTGTAAAAATTAAGTCTTAGCTGGGTACAATGGCTTATGCCTGTAATCCAGCACTTTGGGAGGCTGAGGCTAGAGGATTGCCTGAGCCCAGGGTTCGAGACCAGCCTGGGCAACTTGGTGAGACCCTGTCTCTACAAGACATCAAAAAATTAGCCTGGCTTGACGTTGAGTGCTTGTAGTTCTATCTACTTGAAGACTGAGGCATAGCTGGGCTCGGTGGCTCAGCCTGTAATCCCATGCCTTTGGGAGGCTGAGGTGAGTGGACTGCCTGAGCCTGTGGGTTCGAGACCCGCCTGGGCAACTTGGCAAGATCTCATCTCTACAATAAATCAAAAATTAGCTGGGCGTGGCGCGCGCCTGTAGTTTCAACTACTTGGAAGGCTGAGGTGGAAGGATCGCCGGAGCCCAGCAGGTCAAGGCTGCAGTGGCCGGGTGAGGCCACTGTACTCCAGTCTGGGCGACAGAGTGAGACTGCGACTCAAAAAAAAAAAAGACTGAGGCAGGAAGATCACCTGAGCCCAGTAGGTTGTGGCTGCTGTGGCCATGAGTGTGTCACTGCAATAAAGACTGGGTGACAGCGTGCGACTCCGACTAAAAAAAAAAAAAAAGACAAGTTTGTTGTTCTGTTTTTTTTTTTCTTCCAGAGTCGGAGTCTCTCGCTGTCACTCAGGCTGCAGTGCAACAGCGGCACACTCCTGTCTACCACAGCCACAGCCTGCTAGTGCAACAGCGGCACACTCCTGTCTACCGCAGTCACAGCCTGCTGGGTTCAGGCAATTCTTCCACCTCAGCCTTCCAAGTAGCTGGAACTATAGGCACGGACCATCACACCCGACTTTTTTTATTTATTGTAGAGGTGAGGTCTCACCAAGTTGCCCTGGCTGGTCTTGAAGTCCTAGGCTCAGGCAATCCTCTTGCCTTGACCCTCCAAAGTGCTGAGACTACAGGCATAAGTCATCGTACCCAGCTAAGACTTAATTTTTACAATCTTCTCACAAGGTGCTCATTACTTGCAGATATAGAAAAGCGTAATTCCTTTATAAACACTGAACACTCTACACTGCTCACCAGAAAGTGCAATTGGCATCGATCTTGTGTTAATTCCTTTATTTTTATTTTCTTAAAAGAGCCATGGAAGAGAAGTGATCCCTTACACTGAGAGCTTCCAAAGGGGTAAGCTCTGCTATGGGTCCCACAAAATAATGCAAAAGATGTGAGGTGCTGGGTTAACACAACATTTTGCCTTCCTTCTTTGCCTAATATACTGCATTTTAGCCTCTCACAAATAAAATAGTTTTCATAGTGATGATACCCCAATCTCTATGCCCCTCAGTGGACTCTACTCAATCATCTTGAAAGTACGTCCTTTGCTCTGTCTAGAAAAGCAGGAAAATGTGATCATAGGTAGAGCCACAAAATCTAAACGTTAGATATGAATGGGACACAATGTTAGGAGCTGAAAGAAATCCCAGAAACCCCCTTACTCACACAAAACTCCCCCATTTTCCAACTGAGGACACCCAAGGCCCCAGGGATGTGTAATATATTGTGCAAGATGACAGGGCTGGAAGAATGCAAGTCTGCCATCTTCTAAAACAGCAGTGCTCCTAGCATTATGGCAGGGATTATCTCCATTTACTCATCAATCTACCTGCAAGCAGTCAGAGGCCCAAGACAGCCGCAGGGAAAGCATTCTATCGGAAACTGTCAGGGAAATAGATGCTGAGCTTCAGCAAGTCAGCACAAGCCAAGAGTTACTTACCAGGCAAAAGTATCTTTGGAGAAAAAGACACAGAAAGAAGCAAATGATCTGTTTTGGCAGACAAGTAATAACTAATACTATTTACAGTAGGTGTTTTTCGTGCCAGGCGCTACATTGAAAGTGCTTGCACATCACGTTTAGTCTTTGCAGAGAAAATGTTCTCATTCTAACTTAACAAATGAGGAAACTGAGGCTCTGAGAGAAAAAATGGATTACTCAAATCCCATGGTGGCCCGAACTTGAACCCAGGCATGTCAGATTCCAAACTCAACTACACATGACTTTCAGCATCCTCAAAGCCAACGATCAAGTCCCACCCAGGCGGTGACCCAAGTCTGAATCCCGCCCCCTCCCGCCCACCCCCGCGCACCCCAGCCTCTCCACGTGGGTCCCTAACCCCAGATAATTATTTAAAACTTGTCACTCTCTTCCTTTCCACCCAACCCCCAGGAACAGACCCCGGGTTCCGGCTTCCGTTAGAGCAAAAAAGTAACGTTGCGCTGAGAGAACAACGTCCTGCAACCGAGAGTAAGGCTGGGGGTGGCGGTGAAGGAAGTGAGAACCGAGCAGACGGTCGGCGAACGGTGGGACCACGAAGCCCTTTCACTGCTCTTAACCACCGCCTGGGACTAAAGACGCGCCTCCCGCCACGTGCGCAACCCCAGTTCCAGGAGACCCTTTCGCAAGTGGAAGACGAGTTCGCAAGACTCTAAACTCCAAACCCGCCGCCCTCGGCAGTTGGAAGGGACTGGGGCTCTGGCCCAGGCAAGAGCCAGCGGGGAGCGCGCCCCCAGGGCCACCCGCTGCGAGTGAGTGTAGACGCGGCGGGCCAAGCGCGTCAGAAGACCGGGCTGCTGCGGGACAAGCCCCCAGAAAACTGAAGGGCCGAGCGGTCCCCGGTCGCTGCTCGGCCCCCAGTGGGCGCACGTGCAGCTCGGGCGCACGT